TGTCTATAGGTACATACATAATTTGAATTTTATATATATAGATATAGATTGTGTGCCATAGTCGAATGGAGAGAGGTGCGTATTAACACACGGTAGGCACTAGTTTCGATACCTAGTTCAGGTAACAGCTTAAAATTGAAAAAAAAAATGAAACGTCTAACAGCGGTCGCCCTCGGCAGGCATTGGCAAACCGGGCGTGTATTGCTGCCTTGAAAATGAATTTCAAAAGAAGCATTTGCCTTTCGCAGGCGGCGTAAAACTGTTGGTCCCTTCATTTGTGTGACAACACCAGGTTGCTCATCATAAAATTGGAGAAGAAGCTCGGCCTAACACTGAGCGAAAATGTGAGCGCTAAACATTTATTTTGCATTTCTATCTAAGCGGCATCTAGTGTTGTTATTTCACTGCTATGGCGAATTTTGGAATTTAGGTGCTTTCATTTCATTAGATAAATGCCGTTTACACATAAAAGTCTTTTATAACTGTTATCTAAGACATATAATATAAAAATTAAAAATAATNTTATTTTGGATTTATAATAATGAAAATCAAAAATAATTGATATTTTTTAAATTTTGCATAGAAATGGCAAATGAAAATTTACTTTCAAATTTGAGTCACGGTGAAAAAAGAAACCGATTGGTATGTATCACTTAGTTGTAGAACATTTTCTTGATAGTGAACTTTTCCATGACAGTTTTCATCAATAACTGTAATGTTAAGTCCCTGATTTATACATTACAAACCATTTTTGCATAGCAACGCAATTTTTGTATTGCTCAACGCAAAGGTTCTTATAAGGCGTCGTGAGGCATTTGCTAGTCTTATCATAAATTCTTAATAATTTTGTTATAAGCACTTATTTTGCATGGCTTGTGTTATACATACATACATAATTAGCTATCCTACAGCTTTATCTAGGCTAATTAGTGTTCCATCGGAAAGAGAATGGCCTAAGAAAATTGCGATTTACAGCATCCTTAGTGTTTTGAGATAAAATTAAGCAGCTAATTCTTACACTTGTGCCAAAGGCGAAATACTATGAAATCAGAAAAAGCGTTAATTTGTGTTTATTGCCTGAAAGCAAGCAAATTTACGACCGAGCCATCTATATAAATGTTCTGTCATTCGCTTTAATGCCCATTTACTATTTTCAATACAAATAAAATAGGCAAACGACAAAAAATTCTTGCTCTTCAAATTTTCGCCAACCAAAAGAAACCAAGCCACCAAGCACCAGCAGCTACTCATAATTCTTCTGTATTTAACTTTAGTTTTATCATTACAAGTAATCTTACAACATAAAGTAGCAAGTGTAATTGAGTTGAATAAAATGGTTTATTGTAGGATTTGTCTGTGTGAAGCTGGCTTGGCTTGACTGGGCTGGCAGGCTGCCTTACCGCTTGGCCGCCTGCTTGTTTGCCTGGTAGTTTGCTCATCCAACCGGCTGGTGTCATCGCACACATTTAAGCAAATCCCTATCGGTTGGTGAGTCATTGGCGCGGGCAATGCCAAGTAAATGAAATGAAAGACGCCACACAAAAAGGGAATCAAATGAGAAGTAAATAAAAAAAAATGGGAAAAAGAAATAAAAAGTAAGAAAAATAACAAAAGCGCGCGATACAAACAAAGCCAAAGTTCAATGCAATCAATGCGAATTGTCGTCCATTGGCATTGCGGCGATGGGAAGGCGGCACACATTTACAGCAGAGCGGGCTGGAGGGGCGAATTCGGTTTAAATGTCGCTTGGCTGTGGTCGGAAGCAGCGCACAGATGCTGCGCCCCCCCGCCGCCCCTCGCGACCCCACGCCTGCGATGCTACTGCTGGCAGTTAGCATGTGCTAGCGCTCGCCAAATGCTTCGTTTCGTTTGCGAAGTTTTGGGAAATTTTCTCATTTTAGCGCATGCTCATTCGCCGTCAATCTCACGCTTCACCAATTTCATATGCTCATTTAATTTTCTCTTTCATAGCTCTTAGTTTTACAATTTACCCATACATACATACATAAATATTTTTAAACTCTTATACGCTTATTTACTAGCACGTTGTCGCAATCCGAATCGTAAAATGGGTTATTGTGTCTCAATTTACGAATGCCCCAGCCTTATTGAGGTAGTACAACGCTTCGAACTCGCTCCAACGGATCGTGAATTCCTACAGAAATCTCAATGTACCAATGGTTATGGCCAGCCGCCGTATGTCTGTTGTACGCCTGATAAAGGTTTCACTACGTCGAATAGTGGCTCAACAACGTCGAGTACAACAACAACAAGCCGCCCATCGACTGTCAATCCGCCAGCACCAAGCAATGGACGTGGAAATGTGCTACCGGTGCCGCCTGCGTGCGGTCCAAATTCACTGGATGATAAAATTTACAATGGCAAAGATACGGCACTGGATCAATATCCCTGGATGGTGCTGCTTGAATACGTACAGAGTAAGTACATAGATATGTATGTATGTATGTATTTTTGTCTGCGAAGTTGGCATGTGTGTGTATGGGTGATAAACCACTTTCAACTTTCCGGCTGCTGCTCGTTGTGTTTGTTGTAGATTAAATCGCCGTTATTGATTTGAATTTCAATGTCTTTTATGCTTACATTATTCTGCTTGCTCTTCTTATTCTTCTCATTTGTGTTTATACATATATCTTGTTACTTTCCCCAGTGCCTACCCACCAATGGTTTTTTTCTTTGCAGAAAATGGCAAACCCATACTAAATTGTGGCGGCAGTTTGATAAATCAACGCTATGTGCTGACAGCAGGCCACTGTGTTGTGGGCGCCATCGAAACGGAAGTTGGCCCACTGTAAGTGTAAGCGTGCTCTGGCATACTTAAGGCAAATATTACAAGCACGTCCTCTCACGTACATACATAGTACATATATATACAGACATGCATATTCCTTATGTTAACACACTTACACGCATACATATGTACATACTAAATCGCTTACAAACTTGCATACTTACACACATACACACATACCTACGCATTTTTTCTGCAGCTCAGAACATCATTTGTTTGTACTAACCTATGTATGCGAGACTGTGTTTGCGTACTTTGTCAACTAGTTTTTTTTTTTTTATGTGCAGTAAGATTAAGAAAATGGAAATCTTCGTCTGCTGCATGTTGATTTTCAAAGCAAATGAGCATTTTGCTTATTGGTCGAAAGAATGTCAACATGCCAGCATGGGCATACAGTAACGATGAGCAAGAAATCCGAATTAAGGAACTGAAGAAGCGGAAAAGATTTTAAGCTTCAAAGGCTTTTAATTAAGAGCATAGATTTTTGGTATTGTTGTAGGTACTATTTATATGTCTTTTACTGCAACTAGATTTTAATAAGTAAGCCATAAATGATTGCTTTTCGATAAAGGAAAAGCATACATTTTCTATATACCTACCCGCTTCGAATGCAAAATAGTGGATACTTAAAATTAATTCTTATCTTTGGAGACCCTCATAGAGTAAAATTTAATAGATTATTTCTCTAACCCTCCAAGCACCAAATTATACAAAACGACTTAAGAACGAAATATTCCGATTTCGGATTAAGCGCACCGATTAGTGAATAAGATAGCCAGGAATCATTTCGTAGGGCTATTAAATGAAATAAAATGCAAGTTTTTTCGAGTTTTTGTATTATTTGTATCTAGTTTTTTTATTTTTATATACATATTTTTCGAAATTTTTGTATGTTCTTCACAAAAAAATTGTTCCAAGTGAACCTTCTTGTTTAGTTCAACGATACTCTGATTTGCTTATAACCCCTAATAAATATAACGGGCCGTTACATAGTATGTCGTTTACCGCTGAAACCCGTTTACTGATAAATTTAAAATTAAATTTAAATTATCAATTAACAAATAAATTATAAAAAACTAGCGAACCAGCATAACGTTAAAATGCCAAACTTTAATTTAACTTTTTAAGCAGGTGGCAACCCCATTCAAAAACTTTATTACATATTCTAAGTGTTTCTTCTAAATCCGCCCAGCTGCTTTGCATTATATCGGGTTTTCATTTTATCAAATTTCAAATTACCGTCAATTATTTAATTAGACAACTTGTTTTTGAAATGTACATAGTTAGGTAAATATTAATTTTCGAATAGGTGGCAACCCTCCTCAAAAACTTTTTGGCAGTCAACTTTCACAAACCTCTTTAGTTTGACAGCCGAATTGCAATATTTAATTTATCCAATTAGTTAAATTAAATAAAAAATTTGAAACAGGTGGCAACCTTCCACAAAAATATTTTCGGCTTTAAGCCTTCTTAAACCTCTCTCTTCTGATAGCCATATGGTAATATTAACTTTATCTTATCCATTTACTTAAACTGAAATTTTCACACAGGTGGCAACATGCTAACTATTTCGTTTGACATTAATATTTTAATACTTCGTTCAATTTGTGTATAAGATAAGTTATTTTGACTTTTCACACAGGTGGCAACTTTCTTCAAAAGTATTTTCACACCAAAATCTTTTTAATGTCTTTCGTCTGACGCTGATACAGATTTTCATTAACTCATGGCAACGTGGCAGCTATCCTAAATACAGTTTAGAAATAAAATAAACTTTCAATTCCATTTCGATTGATGTCCACCTTTTAATAACTCATACAACTTATTAACTAATTGGATTTCACTTTTTTAATAGGTGGCAATCCTATTCAAACAGATAAAAATTAAAATGCTCAAACTAAAGATTTCTTAAAAGTCCTTAGTTTGACACCCTTATTTTTTATTTCATATAACCTGTGCATAAATTAACAAAATTCAACAGGTGGCAACACCCTCTTAAAAATGTTTTCCGCTACTACCTTCTTATGCTCAAAAACTGCTTTATTTTTTTTATGAGTATTACTTATTCTCTTTGGGTCTTCGGTCTTAAACAAATATGTAGGTTCTATTAAAACATTTTCAAAATGAGTGGCATCTCCAAACAAGGCCTTATTTTAGAGGTGGTCAAACAGTTTGAAAAATCGGGATTTATATTTTTTATGGTGTACGATTTTTATGTCTTCTATATCTGATCAGTGTTTACAAAATGTATATACATAATTGTCAAATTATTTAATGTTTTATGCCGTAAACGATTAAAATAATCCCGCAAAATAAATGCGCCTGAAAGGGCACCTGAATTTGTGCAATTTTATAGAGGCGCCTTTATTAAAATTCATATATGCATGTCTCCTAGTAAAAACTTTCAAAAAATGTATAAAAACATGATAGACTAAACGCAGCTCTTTAAATCAATCCCAGCATCAACTATGAGTATAGGAGCAAATCTCACGAGTTAAGTTAAGACGTGCGAGTAAACGTGTTAGATGACGGGGCGTATACGTTACATACGCAACTACGGTTATATGAGTACGTGTGGGTGCTTTTACTTGTTTTTTTTTTCAGCCTTTTTAATTTTTCATTTAAATACAATTTTTCGATGGAATCTTGTTCGTTATACAAAACTAAAGATAATTCATTTTCTAAGATAGCCGTATCACCATTTTCGACCAAAAACACGTTTTTCTCGAAAACTGTAACAAGTCGTGAGATTTGCTCATGTAGGTGATTCTTAAAAATATTAAAAATTAGAGCTTGTTAAATATAGTTGAATTTTGTGATCAAACAATGCAATTTAAGCCCGTTAAGATAATTTGTAGCGAAGTGGAGAAATCCACTTAAGATTAGAAAATAATGCCTGGACATTTTAAAATTTCCAATAGTGAATAGTGCGAAGCCGCTGTGTATGCTGTCATAGATCGGGAAGATATTGAAAGTAGTTAAGAGTTGTAGCCAACAAGTAGATAAGGATAAGTTCGTTCAATTTACAGTGGACGTCTTTACACACAAGTGCGCGAAGTTTCCGTTGTGATATTCTTTCGGTTGGATGTTGAGCACGCCCCTAGAAATGTAACCAATTAATTTTATTTATAAAGCTGTAAATACGTCAAACTATTTACGAGTTTAAGTATGAAAGACAGTCGAAAAAGTGTTTATGAAAATATACTAAAATGCAGTTAACTCATCCTGAAACGCACACCACTTCCCACCCTCTTATTCAGCTAAGTGCTGTCCGTAAATACAGAAGGAGAATTAGAGTAGAGTTCAAAGACCCTAGTTTATTCCAATTATCTCCGCTAAAGAGTCATTTCCAAAGCGGAAGTAAATATGGTGTAGTGTAGAAACTTAAACTTAGCTGGGAATATGTCTACACCTTTTCCAACAGTATTTCAGAAAAACACAAATGTATTTCAGAAAAGGCCAAATGTATTTCAAAAAACCTCAAATGTATTTCAGAAAATCTCAAATGTATTTCAGACAAACCCAAATGTATTTCAGAAAAGCTCAAATGTATTTCAGAAAAACGCAAATGTATTTCAGAAAACCTCAAATGTATTTCAGAAAAGCGCAAATGTATTTCAGAAAAACACAAATGTATTTCAGAAAAACGCAATTGTATTTCAGAAAAGGCCAAATGTATTTCAGAAAACCTCAAATGTATTTCAGAAAAACGCAAATGTATTTCAGAAAAGGTCAAATGTATTTCAGAAAAACTCAAATGTATTTCAGAAAATTTCAAATGTATTTCAGAAAAGACCAAATGAAATTCAGAAAAGCACAAATGTATTTCAGAAAAACGCAAATGTATTTCAGAAAAGCTCAACTGTATTTCAGAAAAACTAAAAAAAAACTTAATTGGGCATGGCGTTAAACATCTAAAAAATACATACATATGTACATACATAAGTATTCCGAGTCAGCAAAGAGCTAAATACGTACATATGTGCAAAAATTGTGCCTAATTAAGTATTAGTATATATAATATAATTAAAAAATGGAGCTAAAGGACAACTGCGCAATTTGCAGGGCCGATATGCGCAGGCAAATGGTGGTTCGCCTACTGCCATGTGGTCACTTATTGCACCAAAAGTGTAGCGGTCCTATTATTGAGTCCAATAAGTGTCCTATGTATCGAGGAGATGTGAATGGTACAAATACACATATGTATATATAAATGGTCTTTAAATAATCATAATTTTATCTTATCGTAAATATGTTTCTATATGTAAAAATTTTTAGAATAATGTGTATATGTTAATCTTCTCCGGTACAGAAAACGAGATTGTAGAACGCAAAAAGTATTCGGTATACAATGAAGTCGACCGCGCACGCATTGTTGAGGCTGCCAAAAAAGGGGAAGATTGGAGCAGCTTAGCATCGTCCTTCGGAATCAACTACAAAACGGCATACACTTGGGTGCGATCAGGCAGAGTAGAAAGCAAACGAAGAGGAGGAGGGAATGAAAAAAGGTTGTCTGAAGACGAGGTCGACACGTTAATACGTTGGGTGGAAGAGGATCCTACTATAACGCTGAAGAATATAGCCGTAAAAGTGCAAGCGGAGTTGCAAAAAGACATTTCCAAGTCTNTCTACTATAACGCTGAAGAATATAGCCGTAAACGTGCAAGCGGAGTTGCAAAAAGACATTTCCAAGTCTTCCGTGGCTAATTTCCGTGGCTAATTATTTAGATGGTAGGCTGTATACCATTAAAAACGTTCATAATATGCCTGCCAACATGAATTCCGCCGTAAATAAAAACAAACGCGCAGAATTCGTGACAGCGTTGAGCGGATATATACAGCAAGGCAAACAAATTGTATATTTGGACGAAACCAATTTTTATTTGTTTTGCCGTCGGACAAAAGGTCGCGCCCGGTCTGGCACACGAGCGGTTTTAACGCTGCCACCATCAAGGGGACCCAACGTACACCTAATTGGAGCCATCAGTACATACGGTGTA